CCCACACCCACACATACACCCACACCCACACCCACACCCACACCCACACCCTCACGTGAAAGACTTATAACGACGTTCATAATAATCTAATTCTGATTCATCAGGACGACGTAATTGTAATCGCGCTTCAGTATCTTTTATAAAAACAATAAAATCGTTTATGAAATGAAAAAAATCATATTTTCTATTAGGATCAAGAAATACATGTTCACGAAGAATTGGATGATCCATAGCAGTTATTGGTTGATTCAGAAAATCATCATCAGGTCGATCAATGTACAGATTAAATATTTAAATTATAATATAATATCTTTTTCTTTCTAACTTCGTCCACTAGGACAAGTCTTAGAGATCCTTCAGCTAATGAACTAAATCCTGTTAAACCATTCATCGCTTTATATGGTGTTGCATATCCAGTTGGATGACCACGTTGTTCTCTTTCTTGTTTTGTTTCAACTAATGTTATATGTTTATAAGCCTGTTCACCATATATGCATATAAATGGTGCGCGAAATCCAGTACAATTACAATCTAAATGTCGATTAAAAACTAATATTTTGGTTTTTTATTGAATGACTAACACTACTTTTTTGACATGTGTAAGGTGGTCGTGTTCCATGAGTATCAAGTGAATGTTTACAACGACAATTAGGATCACTTGTATCAGATGCATTTGCAACATATTCAAATGATACACAACGACATGAAATAAGAATGGGTCGTTCAGTTAGAACTTCAGTAAAATCAGTTTTATATTCAGAAAATCTTCATTAAAATAAAAAAAATAATTAGTAATAATGTTTCTTTTTTTTATTTAGTTCACTTATATCGACAAAGACATTTATGTTGTGATCCAATACGAATACAATCCATTCCTTGAGGATTTACCCATGACACATATAATCGACTGTTTAATCACTTAAACTATTTAAATTATTTTTATTTTGACATTGAAATAAAATATTTATTCTTTTTTCATGTAATATAATATCCGATTGAATATGAAAACAAAAAATCCATACCATTAGTAAAACTCATCTTTTATATGCTTCATATTCTTTTGATGAAAATAAATTTCCTTCATCATCATCATCATCATCACCAACAATACTTGAAAAAAATTAATAAATAATAATAATAATTAATTTAATTCATTATTTAATTCTTACGCTCAATATTCGAAATATGCATCAACATGTGCAGCTGCATTTGGTGATAAACTAATATAGTCGCCTAGTGCACGTCCACGATTGCTTTCTGTCATTATTCTTTTCTCTATATATATGACTGATTGAACGTGCATGAAAAAATTTCATTTTTAATATCTTTAAATAGTATAATAGAGTAACTAATTCTGGCATGTCGATATTATTTTTGTAGAGTTATATTGAAAGATCATTCTTTTAATAAGATTAAACGAAGATCAGTTATTAATCAGTATTATTTTATTGTTTAATTCATTTCAGTAATATACTAAAAAAACGTTCTAATGAGAATCTTTTTCATTAAGAAAACAATATAAAATTAATCATCATGAAAATAAATATTAATTTTACTCGTAGAAATTGGATGTGAAATAAACATGAGAAATGACTTTATCCAAACAGAATTTTTTTTTCTCTCATTAAACTTTGCATTTCCTTATAAAAATACTCATTTTCAATGTTTTTTAACATTAATTACATTCAATATTAGTCAAGGATATTTGTTTCCGCATTCTACATAGGAGAAGATGATATTTTTTCTATATTCTCTATTTGCCACAGATGATAATTTACATATGGCATAATTTTGTTCAGGTTAAATTTTGAAAAAGGCAACAAGTTCATTTTTTTTATTGATATATGGATTATTTCAAGGATGATTATTTTTTAAAAGCATATAAGAAATATTTCTATTAATTTAATTGACAAACAAGACTTGGTTTTACTTTGATTCAACACGATAGACAATAGAAAACGTATACTGATTTGTAGAAAATAAAATCAAATACTTTATTTTGTCTTTCATATGATTCATTACTGAGAAACATGAATAAATCCTATCAAATCTCACTCATATACCTCTCGAATAGGAATTTCATGTGTTTAATTAAATCTGAAGCTTCGTTCAGGTATATTTTTAGGATTCTTAATATTAGAAATGCATTTTATCTTTAAAAATTAAGCCATGACAGATGTCAAGCGAGATAAAGAATTCGAAATCATTTACGTGAAGATCAACGGTAACTATAGATGATTCTGTGAAAAATAAAACGATAAATTTTAGACAACAAAATATAAAAATCATAGTTCTTGAACTTGTTTCTATCGAAAGTTATTCAAAAAATATTTATTTGTCTTTATTTTTGAAATAGATAGTAGGATCAATCTTATTAATTGTAGCTTTAATGATTGATTTGTATTTTTGAAAACTACATAAGATATTATGGATTAAAATTAACTCTCATAAATTGAATTATTCGATGATATTTAGTATAAAATTCTATATTTAATTATCTTCTTCTTGAAAATCATCGATCAACGAATCTAATTCGAGTAGAAAACACTTTCTTCTTAATTATAAAATAATATAATTAGATGTATATTAATTTAAATTTGATCAATTTTAAAAGGTTTAGATAATATCTAATTTGAACACTTGTTTTTCATTTATCTTAAAATCAAGTGTTTTATTTAGTTTAAAAAATAAATTCAATCTTTTATATTATTAACATATGCCGTGTCTAGCTTAACTAATGAAACAAATGATCCAAGAGAGAACGTATTAACATTTTCCTGCTCTTTTCTAGTTTAAAACTAATCAATTTATCAATACAAAATTAAATATTTATACTAAACTAGAAGTAAAAATACAACAATAACTATTATCTTATAAAATTTGACCTAATTCAATTCAGATTCAGATTTAATGAGATAAAATATCATGAACAATAAATGTTATTTATTCCAGATAACGATTGTTGATCTAAAATAGAAGAATAATAATATTATTTGAACAAAATTTCTATAGGATAACAAATTATAAAATAAAATATTTCTGTATCGTTGATTTATTATCTTAAATTAATAAGAAAATATTTGTTATTAGCTTTCTGACTTTGAAAAGTTGCTGAAAAAGCGATGAACTTTTATCTGAAAATAAATTATTTTCTCTCGATAAATATTTGAGTATAACTTGCAAGAATTATTTATATATTGTAACTTTTTTATATTATCTTCATTCTTTACGATAGAAAAACTTTTGTAGATTATTATTGGAGAAAATTCAACTATGAATGCAGTGGCGGATCTAGGATTTTGGAAGGGGGGGG